TTCTTTCATGTGAAAAATTATGGCAGAAAAATGCTGAAATATTAAGAAAATGTGATACCCACTGCTTTTTCTCCTATAAACTCAGTCATTTTAAGATGGTAAATATCCACAGAGGCTGGTAAGCAGATGTTTCATAGCTAGAAAGACATGGGATCAGGATTCAGGCCAATTACACGCGCTCTCATCTCTGGGGCCCACACGCTTAACCCCTAACTAGAGCCGCAGTCCCGTAAGAAAAAACAAATTTAGTAGAAATAATACTTATTTCTTCTTCTTTCTCTCCTTTCCCCACTGCCCTAACCACCCAACAAGAGTAAATTTCTGTTGTAAAGTTGTAAAATGCCATCCTAAATATTCTAATGTTAGAGAATATTTTGCTATGTCCTACTGCTTCTGTTTGACTGTTGTATTTTGGGAGTATTTCATATTAGCATTGCAGAAGTTGTCTGTTTTGCTACATTGTGAAAATTGCTTTGATTTTTTAGGCCCATCTGTACAAAAATATTTACAATAACAATTGGCATTATTTGTCAAGAAAATAGCTGTTAATCATGACCACTCACTTAATCCAGTTAATTCTGTGGAGACAGACTGTTGATACAGCTGCCAAATCATAAATTGATCATAAAATAGTTTACTGAAGGATATGTACAGACATATGCTCAAGTTTTCATGATGGTTGTTGTGGCATAGAATTGCAAATTCTTCATAAAATATAGGTACTTGCCTTTTTGATATGGAAGATCTTAGACCTAAACATTGAGAATAAAACTGGGGAGTCAAGTAAATAAGAGTATAACTCCTTACCTGATTTATAAAATTGTATTCTCTATTCAGATTGCTTTTTCATACTGTTCACACCTAGACAGCGTATTAAAAAGCAGAGACATTACTTTGTTAACAAAAGTCCATATAGTCAAAACTGTGTAGTTTCTAGTAGTTTCATGTATGGATGTAAGGGTTGGATTCTAAAGAAGGCTGAGTGCCGAAGAATTGATGCTTTTGAACTGTGGTGCTAGAGAAGACTCTTGAGGGTCCCTCGGCCTGCAAGAAGATCAAATCAGTCAGTCCTAAAGGAAATCAGTCCTGAATATTTATTGGAAGGACTGATGGTGAAGATGAAGCTCCAATACTTTGGCCACCTGATGTAAAGAGCCGACTCATTACAAAAGACCCTGATGCTGGGAAAGATTGAAGGCAGGAGGAGAAGGGGATGACAGAGAATGAGATGGTTGGATGGCATCACTGACTCAATGGACATAAGTTTGAGCACGCTCCGGGAGATGGTGAAGGATAGGGAAGCCTGGCATGCTGTGGTTCATGGGGTCACAAGGAGTCATACACCACTGAGTGACTGAACAATGACAATATTAAGGTTGCTTGGTCACAGTTTGCTGTCTGAATACTGGGTGGGCCTAATGTTAGTTGCAATTACTAAATTTTTTTCTAAAGTTGATCTTGGAAAATTAGTTAACTGCCACAGTCAATAATAAAATAATCATAAAAGTAAACTTTTGAATTTTATTTAAAATGTAAAGATATTTCCAACAGGAACATTAATTAATTGTGAAAATGGGGCCGGGGGAAATTTTGTTTAATAACTGAGATGTCACTAAACACTAAGACTTTGAAGTAGACTTCTAATGAAAGCTTCCGTGTTATGATTTCTCCTCTGAAGAAAGATTGGTGTTCCAAGGATTTAGAATCTTTTTTTTTTTTTTTCATGGTAAGAGGAATGGTTATTGGTTGCAGAGTTCAGGTAGGTTTTCCTGTTCTTTTACCTTCCTGGTAGTAAGCAAGGCATTGAGGAAACAGCCTTTGCTGAGTAATTCACGAGCAAGGTTCCGTCTGACATCTGGACTTTGATACGTCTTGCCTGATCATGTGTGTGGGCTCATGCCAAGGGATTGCCCATATAACATGCAGCACACAGTGCTGGGCTGGTGGGTTTACAGACAGCCCTTAAACAGCCAGCTCTGCAGAACAAGTCCCCCGGAGGGGGCCTTTGTGTGCTTGCCTGAAGCCCGCTAAGTTCTCCGAGCAAAGGCTTCCACAGCCGGGTGTCCTCTCCCAGACTGTTCACTTTCTGTCCTCCCCATCGATATGATCAGTGCAGCCAGTATTTTACATGGTGGCTGCCACCATTCAAGACACTGGGGCATTACAAAGGCCCTCATCAGCCTTCTTGCCTGACCATGTAGACCAAGTCACCCATCAGTTAAATAGCCATTCAAGAAACTGTCATTTAATTTGCCTTTAAGTATAGATAAGTCCCTTGGTTCCAGCTCAGTTGAACCCCATCAAATCCACCTTAACTTTAGAGCAAGGGATGACTTTTTTCTTATCAGTAAATTCTAACAGTCTAAAACTCTCTACTTAGCTTAAAAGCTTTATTTGTGGACCCAGGCTGGGGGTAATGATGTCATCATAACTGATATTTTTAGAACTTTACTATGGTCTTTTAGAATATTTCCAATTAGAAAACTTGGGGTTAGGTATTTCTACAGTGGGAAGAGAAGCAATTGATATAAAAGGAGAATTTTACCTTCTAAATAAATGAAATGTAGCTTAAGTTGCTGTTTGACCATTTACTATTGCCGTCGACCTAGAAATTAGATGTGATGTCAGTTACATGTTTTGAACCTTGGACAGTCATGGAGAAAGTACTGTACTCATTCATTTCATCAGGCAGTGCCAAAGACCAGTTATGTAATAATGTAATAATACTTGCGGCACTTACAGGATGTTATTAGTTTAAATTTTTTAATGGACTCATTTTATATAGAGTCAATTCTTTTAAAAAAATATTTATTCTCAGCTGCCTTGGGTCTTAATTGTGGCACACAGGATCTTTTCTTGTGTCTCAGGTTTCTCCCCAGTTGCAGTGTGTGGGCTTAGCTTACCAGTGGCACGTGGGATCTTAGTTCCCTAACAAAGGATCCCCCCGGAATCCCCTGCATTGGAAGGTGGATTCTTAACCGCTGGACCACCAAGGAAAACACATGAAGTCAATTCTTCTAACATTTACCTAATATTCTGTGATGGTCTTCAAAATCTACTGATAATAATTTTTAACATTAACCATTGGAGACTTTACTGATGGAAACCAAAAGTAGGTTTTGTGAAAATCTCTGACCTATATGCCTGAATAAATAATCACTGAAAACATTTTGAAATTAAACCCTCCAATTTTTTTTGTTTGTTTTTGCCATTTTTAAATAACGTGATCTCAGTTATATTGCACATTTCCTTGTCTTTGGGTTAATTTAACTCTTTCTGAGGACTACATGCCTAACACAGTGCCTTATTTGCTGTGTTATCAATCTCCTTTCCTCTTAAGGGGGATACAATATGTTATTTCTGGGATCGATGAAGTTGGAAGGTGTGTTTGTGTCTATACTAAGGATCCCAGACTGTTATCTTCTTGTAATTGGTAATTATTCTTTATGCTTCCTCACTTTCTCTCACCATTGCTTAAGGCAAAGTAGTTTAAACCACTTCTTCCTCACATCAGACTTTCTGTGAACTCTTAGTAAGGCCAGAACTGTAGATCACGAGAGGAGACGAGATGACCATCTTGAACATCGTTAGCCTCGTTTTGATAGCCAGATCTCGGGACAGCAGAGATCTGGGGACTTGACACCCAGATGGGGGCTCAGTCCTGTGTGTGTGTGTTGTGCAGGTACTTTTCCATACATATGATGAGCGTTCATCTCTCCTTTCGCCTCAAAGCTCCTGACTCCAGCTTCCAAGATAAGTTTCCCAGGACACAGACAAGTAATTTCATCTCTCTGGGCTCAGGTTTCTCATCCAGAAAACAGAAATGTTTGCAGTATCTACTTCCCAGGTAGTTTTGAGGATAACTGAGGTAGTATCTGTGAAGTTCTCAGTCATACATGTGTCAGATATGTGCATGCTTAGTCATTCAGTCGTGTCCTACTGTTTGTGACCCCGTGGACTGTGGCCCACCAGGCTCCTCTGTCCATGGGATTCTCCAGGCAAGAATACTGAGTGGTTGCCACTTCTTTAGGGGATCTTCCCGACCCAGAGAGCAAACCTGCATCTCCTGTGTCTCCTGCATTGCAGGCTGATTGTATGCTGCTGAGCCAGCAGTCATACATAGCAAGGGTTAAATAATTAAAAAAGAAAAAAAAAAGATTGACCTCTGGATAAATGACTCTTTAAGCTTTTGAAAGGAAAGATCTGAGAGGAAGCTTCTCCTAGTTGAGGTTGATTTACACTTTCTCCTCTGAGGTAGGAGTGGGGTAATTTAGACGAATTTGTATACCAAGGTGCAGAACTGAAAGGTATTACCTAAAATATCTGTAGAAAGTGCTGGCAGTAAGCCTGGGTCCTGACTGGATCTAATAACGTATGGAAAGATGTTCATAACAGCTCCTCTGGGGCTCTTCATAGTATGTCTTAAAAGGAGACAAGAGGAATAAACTGCAAATATATGGGGATGGAGGGAATTGGGGGCAAAGCTTATGCCAAGAGTTAGCAGTTATCTTCTATTACCTAATAAAGGCCGAAAGAGTGATTCTCAGGGAAGATGATATATATATATATATATATATATGTATCTCAAGTTATATGTGTGTCTATCTATATCTATATCTATCTATCTATCTAAAACCTTTTAACCACCTGTCTAACTTAGGTGTTTTTCTCAGCATCTCCCAGGGAAAGGGGCCCTGGCCATCTGCTTTGTTAAAGAAAGCAGGCACCAGTGTCGTGTAGCACACGCGGGGGATGCCCTGCCGGCCAGCTTGAAGCTGGGCAGCCCTTGGTGGTGCCCGCAGGGCTGAAGGCCCTGCCCGGGGCGCGGCCCCCCACCACTGTGTGGCCCCGCTGTCCAAGGACCATGCTGGCGCTGGGCCAGGTGGCTGTTGGCTCCGACGGCCGCCCTTTGCCCCGGCTCACAGCCCCGGTCATAATTCGCTCTAGGCTCAGAGGTGCAGCCTTGTCCAGCTGCAGCATGTTTATCTTGTAATCCACAGACAAGAAGAAAGGAGGCAAATTCCAGCCTTTTAAGAAGTTGTTCGGCAAAAGGAAAAAGAAAGGCACGTCGGTGTCCCAGGAGGCATCTGCGGGGCGCAAGTGCCCCTCTCCCCCAAGCAATGGGACCTTCTCTTCCGACGAGGAGACCCTGGAGGACAGGCTGAGGTAATCACTCACGCTTTCTGCCCCCAGACCTTCCACGGAGTTCTGGGGTGGGGAGTGGCGTCCCAAGGGAGGCAGGGCCACCTCGGCCCGGGTTCCACCTCCCAGAAGGTGGAGGATCGGGGTGCACGGGGCGCTAGCTCTACGCAGCCGCCTCGGGGAGCTGGCACATGGGTCTCACTTGCCGGGAGAGCCCCGGAGTCTGAGCCTTTCTCTTGCTGCCCTCGCCCTGGAGGAAAGTGGCAGCTCACTGCCTCAGCTCAGCAGGCTTCCTTGGCTTGAAGGAGACTGTGTCCTCTGTCCCACTGCCTGGCGAGGAGGAGGTTTCACACCCACATTGAGTACATAGACTGCTGGGGCACGGACGCCACCCTCACACCCCTGGCCATCTCTTGTAGCTTCCAGAACCCACCTCCGATGAGTCTCTGCTCCTTATTCTCTCTCCACCTGTCTCCCCTCTTCTCTGCTCTCCTCCACCCCTTCCCCCCCCTTCCTTCTCTCTCTCTCCCTGTCTCTCTTCTCTCCTTCTCTCTCTCCCCATCTCTACTCCCTCCTTCTCTCTCTCCTTCTCTCCCCTCCCGTCTCTGCTGTCTCCTCCTCTCTCCCTCACTCCATCTGGCTGTGACAGTGTCAAGAACTTAGACAAGCAGGGTCAGGCAGTACTTTCTCACCTGAGTGCTGGGAATTGAAGTCAGAGTCAGAGATGGTTAAGCTCTGCTCCTGACAGTTCTGCAGTCAGCTCCTCTGAGAAGGCCTTTCCCACTACCAGTTCTGGTTTGTCTGCCCTTGACAGCATTCCCGCAGCATCGGGAGCCTGGCTCCAGCGAAGAGCTTGTCGCTTTCTCTGGACATTATTGATGGGCTTGTCTGTCTCACTCACTCACCTGTCAGTTCCGTGAAGTCAGGGAGCGGGTTTTCTTCAGCCTCATCTTAGGCTCTCAAAATGTTCCCTGTGAATGCTTGGCAATGCATTAAGTCCGTGTTGATGGCATAGATGATGTAATCTGTGATATTCTTATTGTGTTTCAAGGACAAAGACAAAAACATCCTCAGTGGCCTGTCTGTGAGTACAGTGCTGTCAACTGCAGTTGAGCCCAGATTACAGAATCCTGAAGCAGGCCATCCACATTAAGCTTTACAGTGCCCACGACAGCATTTGTTAGTTCCACGTAAATGCCGACTCCTTTTCTCCACAGGCCCGTATTTATTTTCCATTCTCTTTAGTAAGGAAATTACTAACCAAAGCAAACAATCTCAGTGAAAGAGAACACAGATAGCACCAAACTAGACCCAACTGTTGGCATGTCAGCACTGATGTAGAACTGAGTATTGTACAGCGTGAATCACTTTTGATTTTACTTCAGTTTCTTCCTTTGCAAAGAGTCTGAAACTTTCTGCTTCCCACATCAGAATGAGGTACAGATACTGAAATACGACTGAATAGCGGATTAATCCAAAATCTGAGCGCGTCTGGAAAGTTCTCCTTGAGAAGGACTGTCCTGTGAAAACACAGCTGATCCTTTTTATAGCTCTGTCAAGTCTCCGATTTCTTGTCGAACTATATTCGACTCAGAAGACCCTAGACTCTGGTTTCTCATCCCACTTAATTGGCATTCCGATTACCCTTAGGCTTTTTCCTTAAGGTTTAAAGTTTTACGAAGCCTTGGGGAAATCTACATTGGATCTAACAGCTACATTTCCAGTAAATATATGTAATGCTACCTGTTCTTAATAAACCTATATTTATGAAACATATGCTGTATTTTAATTGTTTAACACATTTGTATGATACAGGAAGCTAAAAGGATAAACTTTGGACAGTGAGCTTTAAAATGGCTCTTTAAATATTTTTGAAATTAAAAAAAACCAGGAGAATTGAAGTTCCTTAAAATAGATATATTCCTGTTTTCTTCTCAGAAATTTCCTTTTTTCAATATTAAATTATTTACATATGTATTGCCGCTCTGGGTCTCCCCTGCTGCAGGCCAGCCTTCTCTGGGTGTGGCCAGCAGGGCTGCCCTGTGTTGTGGGGCACACGGGTGTCTCCCTGCGGGACTTGCCTTGTTGCAGACCACACGCTCTAGGTACTCGGGCTTCCGGAGGTGTGGCACATGGCCTTAGTTGCTCCGAGGCATGTAGAATCTTCCCAGACCAGGGATTGAACTTGCCCCTGTGTTGGGAGGCATCTTCTTATCCACTGTACTACCAGAGAAGTCCCAGAAATTTCCAACTGAAAAATAATTCCACCCATGAAGTAAATATTACATGCATCATCTACAGGATAGCTGAACTTCTGATTATTTGCCCTATTTACAGAAGGAGAAGATGAAAAATGCTGCTTCTGATAATTCTTATTTTCAGTTCACTGCTCAATTAACAGATATGCTCCTTTATGTTGTGTAGGATTCAAAAAGTATATATATATATATATATATATATATATGTAATGTATTTTATTTGTTAATCTCCAAAACGGGCAGCTGGTACTAAAATACAAAACTCAAAATTCTGTGAACATGATCTCAGGTGGAGGCTCCAAGGAGGCAGACTTCAGCCCAGTGTGAAGGAGAATTTCATAATTACTAGAGCTGTTTAGAAATGGAGAGGCTGGGTGTATGCCAGGGGGATTGGGACTGATGAAGGGCAATGTCTGCACCGGGTAGGAACTTAAAGGAGCTGAACTTTAACATGCTGTCGAACTCCAAAAATCTGTAATTCTAGAAATGTCTCCATGGCCAAAAATAGCTCATTATTGATCTGCTCCTTCTGCCTGAAATTTCTCATTTCCTTTGGGTCTTAAAGCATTCTGTTCTTTCTCTAGCTTAGAAGCCTTTATTTCTCCTAGGCTGCTACTTTTAAATTACACATGCCAGTGGGAAAAGCAAAACAGTAAAACATGATCATTTGTTAACAATTTAATATGACTTCCTTTATTAACTAAAGACAGCTAATACCGTGTTTCCCAAAGTGTGCTAAATAGATTTTAAATTTCAAAAGGGGGAGAGGGTCATTTTGACAAAAAGGTCTGGGAAATCCTGGACCAAAACGAATTAAATGGAATTCTTTACATAGGACTTATCAGAGCTTTTACTATGCCATTGTGCCCTGGGAATTTCCAAGAAGAGAGATGTCATTTGCAGCATTTCTAAGATTCCTTTAACCACACATTTTTTTCCCCCCTCAGAGAATAGCCATTGGTGTATATTAAAGTTACCACGTGTTAAACTTAATACAAATGTGTTTTACATAGGTGAATTCATGTAATATTTCCCATGACTCTCTGAGATTGACATTATTCCTCCCATTTCAAAGATGAGAAAGCTAGAGCCAGAGAATGGCTTGCTGGTAAGATGCTGAGGCGGAACTCAACGAGTGCACTCGGAACCATCCACTCCCGGCCTCTCTGTCCTGCTGCAGCTGGACTAGGGAGCTAGTCACGTGGCCCTGGGTTGTCCTGCCGGCCCTGGGTCACTAAGCTCGGACATCCTTTGGTCCTCAGCTGCCTGCCAGGGGTTCTGCCACTTCCGGGGACAGCGCTTGTCCTGCCTCCAGTTTCTGCTTAGCGCCTGGCGTTGACTGTATCACACGCAGCTCCGGCGCCGGACAGTAAGTGCCCGCTGTGAGCATGTTAAGTACTGAAGGGGCTCCCTGGAGGGGGAGCTCCCCTTGGGGCTGGAGTAGGACAGGAAGGGGCTCGGGAATAAGGAGGCCTGGAGCTGTCTGCCAGCAAGGGACAGGACTTGGAGTGGCTGAGAGACAGGCACGGATGTTTCCAGTCAGAAATGGCATAAGCAGAGGCTTCCACGGGAGGACGAATGTGGCAAATAGGAGTAAACTTTCCAGCTCATTCTGTGAGGCCACTGTTACCTTAATACCAAATCCAGGCGAAGACATCACAGAAAAAGAAAATTATAGACCAATATCTCTAAGGAATCAAGACATAAAAATTCGAAACAAAATACTAGCAAACTGCATCCAACAACATATAGAAAGGATTATATGCCGTGACCTAATGGAATTTAAGCCAGAAATACAAAGTTAGTTTTATATGCAAAAATCAATCAATATAATACACTATATTAACAACATAAAGGACACAAACCACAATATCTCAGCTGATGGAGATAAAAGCATTTGACAAAATCCAATACCCTTACATGATAAAAAACACTCAAAACTGGGAGTGGAAAGGAATTTCTTCAACTTGATAAAGGACAGTGATGAAAATCCACAGCTAATATTATGCTTAATGGTGAAAAAATGTGTTTCCCTTGAGATCAGGAAAAAGACAAGTATCACTTTTTAACACTGTACTTACTGTAGGTTATAACTAGGACAGTTAGGCAAGAAATAGAAGCTTTAATTTTGGAAAGGAAGAAATAAAGCCATCTATCTGTAGATACCATGATCTTATATATAGAAAATCCCAAGGAATCCACAAGAAAACCATTCAATTAATAGAGTTGAGCAAGATTTCAGAATACAAGATTCAGGTTTTCTAAATGTCTATCGACAGAGGAATAGATACAGAAGACGTGGTACATATATGCGGTAGAATCTTACTCAGCCATGAAAAGAATGAAATAATGCAATTTGCAGCAACTCTTTTTGGACCTAGAGAGTGTCATACTGAGTGAAGTAAGTTAGACAGAGAAGGAAAAATATCATATGACATCCCTTATATGTGGGATCTAAAAAATGATACAGATGAACTTACTTACAAAACAGAAAGAGATTCACAGACTGAGAAAACATATTTATGGTTGTGGGGGTGGGGTTGGAGGGGGTTTGGGGGAGGGGATAGTTGGGTGGTCTGGGAAGGTCATGTACACACTGCTGTATTTAAAATGGGTAACCAACAAAGACCCGTGCATGGCACATGGAGATCTGCTCAGTGCCATGTGCCAGCCTGGACGGGCGGGAGTACTGAGGGAGAATGGATGCATGTACGGCTGAGTCCCTTCACTGATCCCCTGGAAGTACCACAACATTGTTAATTGGCT